AGGAAGTCTCATCTACTGGCTAGAAAAAGAGTGCTAAGATACATCAAGGGAACCTTGCAGCATGATGTATTCTTCTCATATGGAGAAAGAAAAGCAAAGAATAGGCGATATGATTTTCTGATTCAAATTAGTGTGGTGACATATTGGACAGGAGAAGTACCATAGGTTATGTCTTCAAGTTTCAAGGAGCTCCAATATCTTGGATCTCCAAGAAGCAACAAATTTTTAATAAACTTAGCAAATAATCATGTCTCTCATAAAAGATCCAAGCATATTGAAACAAGGTTTCATTACATAAGGGAGAAAGTGAACAAAGGAAGGTTGACAATGAGATAACGTCTAACCAAGGACCAGATTGTTGATATCTTGACTAAGGCTATAAAAGGAAAACAATTTTCTAAGTTGAAAATAGACATGTGAATGGTGGCATTTAATTTAGAGGTTGGAATGAAATTTGGATCACTAGCCTCTGAAGCTTTGATGGCTTCTGAATCATCAGCCTCTGAAGGAATTAGAGGCTGGAACAACCTAGCCTCTGAAGCGGCAGCCTCTGAAGGAGTCAGAGGATGGAACAACTTGTCCTTTGAAGCTAAATAGCTTCTGAACCATAAGCCTCTAAAGGAGTCAAAGGTGAGAACTAATTCTGAACCTCTAGCCTATAAAGCAGCCTCTAAAGAGTGGTTGGAGTTTAAAGACAGAGAGTCTGAAACAGCCTCTGAAGAGTGGTTGTAGTTTGAAGACGTAGAGTCTGAAGTATCAGCTTTTGATGTGTATCACTTGGTGAAATTTTGGAATAAAGGAGCATGTTGTGTATTAATTCAAACTTAGTTAGTTAGTTAGTTACTACATGTGCATATATAATAACTACTTGTGTAGTTTTGTAACAACTTTTTCACAATAGAACTTTCTCATTTAATATTCGTTACTCTCTCTTGTATGCGCGCGTCGCCATGTTACCTCCTTACGCCTTAATAAAGAACACAATGGGGTTTTTTATCTTGCATCAATGCATCCCCTAAACCAACATCAGAAGCATCACACTCACCATAAACTCTTTCTCAAAATCTGGCAAAGCTAACATTGTAGCAAAATTCAACTTCTTCTTCAATTCATCAAATTTCTTTTGTGCCTTATCATCCCATCTAAAACATTTCTTCTTTGTAAGTTCTATCAATGGCTTGGCAATTTTTCTGAAATCTTTGATGAATTTTCTATAGTACCCAATGAGACAAAGAAAACCTCTCACTCCCTTTACATTCTTAGGAGTTGTCCACTTGATAACATTATCAATCATTGTCGGATACACAACCACACCATCACCAGTTATCAAGTGACCCAAATAATCAACACTTTTTTTGTCTGAATTGACATGTCTTTCAATTCAGTACCAGAATGTGTTGCCTCAAAATTTGCAAAACCTTTGTCACCTCATGAACATGCTTCTGCCAAATTTTGTTATAAATGAATATGTCGTTGAAAAATACCAATACAAACTTTCTAAAAAAGGGTTTTAACACTTCATTCATCAAGGATTGAAATGTTGATGAAGGTATTCATCAATCCAAACGATGTGACCAAGTATTCTTAATGACCATCATGAGTACAAAATGTTGTTTTATAAACATCCTCGAGTTTCACCCTTACTTGGTGGTAACCCGATTTTAAATCAAGATTTATAAAGCACTTTGCTCTATGTATCTCATCAAGTAACTCATCTATCACTAGAATGGGGAATTTTTCAGGTATGGTAACCTTGTTGATGGCACGGTAATCCACACACATCCCCCATGTTTCATCTTTTTTCTTCACTAAGATCACCAAACTAGAGAAAGTTCTACAACATTGATGAATGATTCCCGCTACTAGCATCTCTTGGACTTGAATTTCAATCTCATTTTTTTTATGATGTCTGTACCTATAAGGTCTCACACCCACCGGCCATTTCTCTTGTAATAACGTGATGACATGATCTCTGAAGCATTGAACTATTATAGCACACGTTCCATATTCTGGCTCGTGTTCTCTAACCTTGCTTTTGTTTCAATATTGTTCAAAACAACTCTCTAATTCCACCATTGTCTCCATAACCTTTACTAGCTTTCCTTACGACAGTTTGCAACGCTGAAATTGCTTCTTGGGTACCCTTAATTCCTCTCAACATCACCCATTTACCTTTATGCTAAAACTCCATGGTTTGCTTACGCGAACTGACAATTATATCACCCAAAACTTTTAATCATTTCATTCCCAACACCAAGTATACACCCGCCAATTCAAATAAATACATGTCTATTTTCGTAGTCGCCTATCCTATTTGAAGAGAAACATGTGCACACTTCCCCTTTTTGATGGTTTGAAATTCGTCTCATAATTTGATTCTGAAATTGGGAGTTGGTTCCACATTCCACCTCAGCTTATGAACCAATGGTTTAGAAATGAAATTGTGGGTTGCCCCACTATCTATAGGGGTGGCAAAACGGGTTCGGCCTGTTTGGCATGCCTAATGTGTCCGTCTTGTTCCGCCTCGTTTTCTTCGCGGTCTTTTGCGGACACGAGCATTTACATAAAATTTTGAGTTTTTAGACTTAAAAGGTGCAGCATCTGCGAACTTTCCTCGCCTTCGTCCTCACTTTTTTGCAGGAATAATCTAGGTTTTAGGCTTACATCCTCAATTATAACCGTCCCACCCCGCCCCACTCTTTTACGAGCTTTTGAGGAGCGGGTCTATACGGGGCGGGCATGCCCATTTGCCACCCCTAACTATCAACCAAGACCATAATCAAAAATCCATTGATTTTTGCTTTAAGTTTCAATGTGTGCAACTTTTAAGGTCATGTTTCCTCTAGTCCATATAGATGCATTATACTCTTGTCTCCCTCTAGTTCGCTTTTAGATTCCTCTACTTCAATAGTCAAGAGTTTGGACTCGTATTTACTTTCATCTTTATCATCTAAGAATATCATCCATGATGCTTGTATGGACATTGAGGTAATGGATGAAATGAGCCTCCACATTTGTAACATAAGCCCTTTTTCTATCAATCCATGGGCTCATTGTAAAAGAGATGGTTAAAACCCTTGTCACGGGCCCATCCTTTTTTTCTAAGGGAATTTCTCTTTCCACCCTTGTGTGTGGTCAACCACCATTGTGAAAAGTCATGAATGTCCCTAGCGTCCGGAGATGCATCTCCGGATGCACCATTTTAATCTAATCCTTAGGTCGGAGTGAAGAGACACCTTATTTATTCAAAAATATAATTTAGAGATACATCTCTGTATGTGTAAAAGGTTAGTTCAAGATGCATCTCTCTAAATATCATTTATTCAAAAGTTAGTGGGTGATCCGGAGATACATCTTCGAACGATGTTGTTTCATATCATGGAGTCACGCCCTTCCCTCTTCCTCCTTCATTTTCTCAAAAGTTCTCAAAAAATATTGACCTCTCACAAGAACATGTATTGACAGATTTTTGGAGGGTTAAGGCAGCTATGGTGTTTTTGTCATAGCTGAGAATCGCATGTTAGTTTAGAGATGCATCTCTGAATTTTCTCAGTGCTATTTTCGAAGACGCATCTTCAGATTAGGCTTATCTTGTGGGTTTGTATTGACTTGTTTTTCTCTGTGTCGGTTTGTAACGCAAGTGCAGTGGCTGATAATAACTCAGACAGAGTTAGGCTCAGACGTGTGTCCCAAACCGCGACGGTATGACGTGAGAGGGCTGCCGCTAGGACCACGAGGCCACGAGTTAATGATAATTCGTTTGATGGTTCACAACGTCGAGATTCTACTTCTCGTAGTCATCTCTCTCAAGCATCCACTTCACGGGTCCATGAGCCCACGAGGAAGCTTAAGATGAAGCCACTTCCCCATTAGAGAGTTATTCTGGAGGTCGATTTGGCACCTCCTTACTTCATCTCTATGCAGATCATGCTTCTAGGCATATCTGGAAAGGAGGAGTGTATATTTTTTCTTTTGCAATACATATTTTTCAACTAAGTAAACTGATACTAATGGTAATATTTTCTTTTTCCAGGAGCGTGCGTGTTTGAAATCGGTAAACCATGTGCGGAAGATATTGGAGTTATGGCACTGCTAATTGGTTTCAGGATATTCTCTGTTATTCCGTTCTTGTCAGCTTATGTTCTGTTGCTTACATGACCATATCCCGCGACATGCAGACGGCTTTTGCCGAGAGGTGGCATTGAGAGATTTCGCCTTTCCACCTTTCTATAGGTAAGATAACTATCACCTTAGATGATGTCTCATGTCTCCTACATCTTCCCATAAAAAAAATTACTAAAACACAAGAGGATTGGTCAAAAGGAAGGCATTGAAATGATGGTCACGCATTTGGGGGCTGACCCAACTAAGACAACAACAAAGCTATAATTGAGAAAATAAACCATTGATAAAGGTTGTTTATTGTCAAAGTGGGGATTTACAATAGATTGAGAATCACATCCACACAGCTGGGCTCCTATGGAGATGCTAAAACCACTCCATCCTATTACAACTTGAATATTCTTAAAGATGATCCTCTCTCCACATCCTAACAGAATTGGTTGGAACCAATTTTCTCTCCACTCACCATTCAATACATGTCATTAGTTGCCTTCTTTAGTTTCCTAATGTAAACCTGCCAAGTCTTTGATCCATTGGTCCCCACTTGAGTAGTTGCCTCTATCTCAGACCCATTAGCTAGAACCGGATTACTAACACATTATCTGAAATGCTTTTATATCCATTCAAGAAGAGAGTACGTACATATCCTAACGGAGAATAAACTGCTTGAAAAAAGTGTTTCTAATCATTAATCAATGCTTTGCTATATACAATGCTATGACAATTTACTTGAAAGAATGCTACTTAAAAAAAGAGTACTACAACTTTACATTTAACTACCTGCATAAAGCTAAACTAAAGGGAAAGATGGACAAATGGACCAAGCTATAAGATGGACATAAATACAAATGATGATTTGTGAATTGCTATAAGAACAATTAACTAGAACTATTGCTATCCACAAAAGACCTTGTAAATAGGAGAGCTGATCCATTAACTCCTCGAAGAACGAGCAGCCTTGAGTCCACATAAGTTCCACATACAACCTTTGACAGATCAAATATTTCAGGGGGAATTTGAGTTCTTAGTTCTTGAAGAACATTTTTGGCTGTATCAATGTTTTGATTTAAAGGATCATCAAGATTCATTGTCACATCTATATCACCAGATGCCAGCTTGGCTGCAGGGAGACTTGATGGAAACTCCTTGAAGGGGGTTATTTTTCTCCATTTCTTGCTAGTAAATTTCTGAGCTAAAGCCTCCTCATTGCCGGACGGGCCAAAGGAGAGCTTCTCTGATGTACTGTCTTGCTTCAGATATAATCGTCTCCCAGCTCTTAGTGTAAATGAAGAGCTCACCTGCACTTTTCCTCTTTTACCAGCTTTGTCATGAGGCCAGTCCTGACCAATCATGACTGTGAATCCAATGTCAGAGACGAAGGAAAGGTTTGACTTCAACTTCGATTCTCGTTTAACAGTTAAATGCAAATCCCCAACTAGTACACGGACTGTAGGTTGTCGAATAGTCAGCCCAACATGCTTCCCAGTGCAGTACAATAGACGCCATTTGCCAGGAAGCAGCTCCAGCCAATTCTGGACACATTAATAACGGCATATAAGTTGGCATAACATTAGAATTAAAACCTGCGGTCGTGTTTTTGTGATTGTTTTCATTGGCCATTTAGGTTTATTATATTAGTTTGTGACTTCTTTTATCTTGGGAGCCGTGGGCTTGAGACTCGATGCAATATTGTTACCTCTTTTATAGATGGGTTCTCATGCATCTGTGGAGCCTTTGTTGCTTTGTGCTACAACTGTGAGATTAACGTTTTGTGCACTATGGAACATTACAAGTCTACCCAAGTTTACAAAGAACAAGTTTGTACGTGACATGAGTTAACTCGATTGTGATACATAGAATCATATGATTCTACAATTTAAGTTGGACAACCATGAGAAGAATAGCCAAGGCTCTTGGGCATTAAGTACTTTATTTTAGTGATTGAAGAGATGTAACTGTTTCAAAGAAATCCAAGCAACAATACTAGGAAAAATCTACGAGAAAGTTTACTCACGAATTACCTTTGGCTTTGGATTAGGATTCAACATCTCCAGTAAGTCAATGAAGTGGGCAAGCCTACTGCGCTAAAACATATAAAATACCCATAAGTGAACGCTATAGCATATCTATCGCATTTAATTTCAATATACAGATGTAACTTTAGTAAGGAAAATTTTGCGGACAACAGACACCAACAAACATAAAAATGTCCTATACGAGCACAGGATACTCAAAATATAACAACGAAACACATTGCATGTATGGTGCCATCCTTGGATGACTGAATACCTGAGGCTGGCGATAAATGTACTCCTCACTAATACGCATTGCAGTACAACCCAAACCCCATCTGATAATATCCATTGATGGAACTACTCGCCATCTTGGTCCACAAAGGAATGGGTGCCTTAAAGCATCCAAACAACTGTATAACAGTTCACATGGTTAACACCGGTAGTTTTTCAATCTGGGTCAACTCAAACTAATATGTCTAATCAAATTCTATTTGTGTTTTCACAAGTGTCTGAGAAACTAGCTACATGTTTGCCAAAAGATCAACCCTCGTGAAATATCAAAAAAAAACTCGAACACTTTTCTTTATGATTTTATTGTGTCTACATTTTCTTTTTCCACACTACAGTTTTTAATTTGCAAGATAATCACAGCTTAATGTAGGGGGATCAATTAGCAAAGTATTCACATTTCAAATAGGTTGATACTGCTTAAGGCATACCTTATCCTCTGAGAAGGTTTGGTTGCAAGCAATAAAGATAAAAGGTGCCAACCAGCACCCCAGTTCCTATCAAGCATCTAGAAGAAAATAATATTAAAAAGGCATTAAACGGTTTCAAAACAAGAATGGAACTCAAAATACCATGCCACTTTCACTGAAGAAGAGTAGTCGTATACTTACTTGTAAGCCAGCATTTCCATATGGAGAATTTCTACCAAGGATTTCTAGCATAAGCTGTCGCAAACATGAAGGATCATTCCCCTGAAGTTTGATGTCGCCAGAATTATCATTAGAAAATTCACATCATTGCATGACCAGATTTATCATCTATTTCACTAAGTTTGAAGCACATCTGTCTACATCTTTGTTAGAATATATTATAATATTTATATTTGTTAGGGTAACTTTGATTATCTTTGACTTTTTAGTTTTGGTTTCAATATATCCTTATATCATGACTTGTTTCCGTATTTAATTTGAATTATCAGTTCTACTACTAAATATTTTATTATGGTAATACCAGAAATGTAATAAAAAATCTAATTTGAGGGTAAGTGTCCACTTACAGAAGACCAAGAAATAGTGTTTCCCAAGTAAACTACTACAGATCATGGCCATTTAATTTATCTATTAATTCAGTATTATTCTCAAAAGACCATTTATTTCAACAGCAGAATCTTCTAATTTTCATGATAATGGTTTATGTCATGCTATAAATGAATATGCGCAAATGAACAGCTTACAAAAAAGGGGAAAAAGAAACAAATTATTTAGGTCTTAGTGTGTATGAGAGGCATAATACAGACAAGACATCCTCGGGTACTTCCTTCATAGTCTACAAAGCATTTGAGTCAAGTAGTTTTTTCTACTTTAAAAAATGCACTTTTTAAACAAATAAGGGGCTAAAACTAAGTAAGAGATTAACTTGCCGTACCTTTGTGAGGAACAATTTGAATTTTGCAAAGATCAGAGGATCCATAAGTTCTCCCATTACCATTTTTGCCATTATGAAACCCACGCATCTTTGCATCACAGATAAATCAGGTATCAAAAAATTTATATAGCTGCACGCAAACTTCACCGACAATTTCCTAAGCCATACCTCATGTCAAATGCAATCATCATTTGTCGCCTGTCCATGTTTTCCATAGAGCCGCTATTTGAACCATCCTCACAAAAGTCAGCAGAATTTCCCAGAATGCCTACCTGTTAAGTAAACACTTTAGGTCAAACCAAGCATGAGAGGAAAGGTTGACCTGACCATACATGAAGAAACACCAAATATTGATATCCAGTAACTTGGATTGCATAGATTACACGTTTAGAGCTAAGAATTATCAGTGCAGTGGAAATTATCATGCAAGTATATGCCATCATCATATATCCTATCCGTTATCTTTCCCTTCATACAGTCTGTTGCATTTCTTATCAGTAATCAATTTAGCAAATCCAGAACTATCACAGTATGTTTGTTTCCTATAATGTTTAACAACAGAAATGTTCCAACTAATTATATAAATAAATTTCTAGGTTTTTCTGTGACTACAGCACAGGCGATGCACAAAACCTTCTCTAGGATCGACCAGACTGCACCACACTCTACATAAAAGACAGAAAAATGAATGAAGAGAAGACATGATTATATTGATAAGAGAATGATAGTGCTTACTTTGATATGTCTGTCTATTGGGCTTATATGCACATTTTCCAGCCTCAACTCTGTATGGGCAAGGCCATGACTATGCAGGTAATTTACCTGAAGTAAATAAACCATAATGGAAAATATGATTCCGCTTGTTGCTGGGCAAGTATTTGAGCACTTGCGATTAAAAATAACTTCCATAAAAGAAAAACATTCATTGGAATTTCTACAAACGTACTCCAATTAGAAGATCTCTCATCAATATTCGAATAAGCCGCAATTGCCTAGAAATCGCAGGACCTCCAGTTGTGTCTTCTCCTACCTTCCTAACAGACTCTTCGTCGAGTGCAAGAGTGGCCTCTAAAGTTTGAAGCCAATCTGACTGTTGAAGCCAGTGTCTCAAAGAAAAACTACCATGATACTGACAGGAAAAAATATTGAAACAAAAAGAATATTAGAAGTTTTTTCATGCAAAGGGTCAGAAAGACTCAAGTAGACAAAACATTCAGAACAATATAATCAAATATATATAAAAAAATTAAAACAGTGAAAGTTATTAAGATTAAGACCTACCCCATGGACTAGGATGAATGAACCACTACCACCACTTGCAGGCAAAGAGATATAGCCAAGAACTTGCATTGAGTAAGAATGATACAAAAGTTTACGATGAACCAGCTTCTTCAATACCTAAAAGATTCCGACAAAAAATTGTGAAGAGCCATCAACAAAACTAAATTGAGATACTACAAGGTCAACTTACCTCTATTGCTCGTTTTCCTCGACGCTGAGCTTGGGTACTATAAAGCTGTCGAAGTATAACTCTTGTGTTATACAAAGGGCTGCAGAGGATAAAGTCATAAAAACAAATAAATACAGATACTGTGATCAAAACTAATCATATAACCTGAACCAAACACAGAACTATCTTACCTACCACTATCCTTCACCTCCCCTTCAAAAACCACCTCATCTGCCTATATCAAAACTTAATCAATGAGAATAACCAGCATTAAGAAACTAATCCAGTCATGTCACATTGTAAAGTTATTTAGATTTCATACCCTTCCACCGAGGCCAATGCTAACATGATCTAAAACCTTAAAATCCGACATTTTGAACCTTACAACATGATCAGTTTCTTCTTCCAAGCAAACGGACAAGGTACTGAGATCCTCTTCATGTGACTCCATGGAAGAAGGAGATGCAGCTCCATGTAGTGATGAACTGCATACTCCTTTGTGCTTTCTCTTGCCTTCATTAGATGATTGTCTATGTCTAGCGAAATGCAGGGGAACAGGTAAAACAAGTTTTGTTGACAAACTTAGGCTATTACTCTCCAGAAATGGGTATGGCCCAGTTCTACACAGTGCCATTGATCAAACCTATGATTGCCAGATTAAGAAAAACAGTATCTATCAGCAAATATTCACACAGGATCCATGAATAACATTTTGATATATAGTAGCTCGACATAAAAAGTGAAGAAACTAGGTGAGAAATAAATGCAAACAGTTGGCGAAATTCAAATCCAAATTGAGGAATCAGAAAAGTATAATCAATCACTTAGACAAAAAGAAAATGGAATGGTTAAAATTGAAGACATAGAAAGAGAGAGAAAATAATCACCAGAATGAGAAAGGGGAAGAACAAGCGTTGATTCATGTAGAATTGTGATGATAATAATATAGAAAATTGAAGGAAGCGTGCGTGTGAGAGTTGCGTGCTACAGAACGCAGGAACGTTTTGGCACGGGTTTATCGCGCGTCAACGTCTGCCTCTCTAAATATCTCTTGATTTATCCATAATAATAGCAAAGTATGCCTCTTCTTGTTTTCACAATGTACGAGAAAATTGATCTTAGTCGAATATGATGTCATAAAAGTTTAGAATTAGAAGTAGAATTGGTAATGTGGCGGGGCAGAGCGGGTTAAATCAGACCCGCACCCGTTTCTATGTAGCTTATCCGTCTTTGGTTTTAAATTTAGTTGGGAATTTGGGATAATTTATGGGTTAAATCCGCTCTTAATGGAGAATGGGTTTTTTCGCACTTGTCTCTTAGCATAAAAGAATAATTTCTTTTAAATTGTAACTAGTAGAAGACCCGTGCGGTAAGAAAAAGTATAATTTTATCGAATTTAAATTTCACAAGAAAAAATATACTCAAATGTATATTAAGAGTAATATTTATGCATATTTTTATTTGTTTGAATCTAACTGATTGTATCTGTGTAACTTTATGAAGTAGTTCAGTAACATTTTAAACATTATAGTGAAAAAATTGAAATACATAATCAAGATTTTAGACTTTTTTATTTTTTAGAGTAATATTTATACATGATTCATTTTTTAGAGCAATAGAGTAACATACAATTTTATGGTAAGCTTGTATGCATGGAATAAAAAGATCAAATACATCAAATTTTGAGTTATTTGACAATATTAGCAAACCCCATAGGATGAATATTAGCAAATACATCAAAGATATAAGCTTAAAAAAACAATAGTAGTTTTTATTTATTATCAATCTATATCAGATTCAATTTGTATATACATGATAGTGTCTTAGACATATATTGAACTAATATTGAATTTTAAGGATGTTAGTTATTATTCAAAATTCCCAAAACCTTCGTCAGACAATGATCCATGCACTATATATTTTTATATCTTCCAGACAATTATATATTTAATAAACATTGTATATTTAACAAATATTGTTAATGATCCATAATAAAAAATATAAATAAAGAATAATATAACAAATGTTGATATGATATTAAATTATTTAGACATAGATGTAAATTTAAAATAAATTACTTAATTGTAAAATGATTAATATTCATATAAAATCAATTGTATTAAATAAACATTTGAAAAGATAAAAATAAGACATGTCTAATGAAGAAAAAAAACAAAAAATTGATATTTAAAAATAAATATTGTATATCTCAATTGTATTTGTTAATTAAAATACCATATATAAATGTCAAGTTTAGCTTGAAATTTATTTGATAGGTAGCGCGAATAAATTTATTTGATCCAGTATAAATTCTATTTAAATGAGCATGTAAATTTTAAATAAATTATTTAATTATAAAATAAAAGTTTATCATATAAATTTAAGTGTATTGAATAACAATATAAAAAATAACATGTGAAAAGGAGAAATAAAAATAAAAGTTAATTTTTTACATTTAAAACTAAAAAACTTATCTCTTAAATAAAAACAGATATTAATAAAAAAAATGTTATATAATGATAGTGACTCGTGCAATAAAAAAATTTATTATCATATATTTATGTTTATCTTAACCATCATGATGTTGTTTATTTATAGTATTTTTGAATAGTCACAAAATAAATTTTCTAAAATTTACTTTCCTTTAATATTTGAAAAAGTAATATTTAGAAAAAATGGTTTCTTAAAGAGTTTTGTAACTTAACATTTATTATATATATAATTATACAATAAATATTTATTAAAGCAAATTATATGTTCATCTTTGATAAATAATCATTTTTAATTAAGTAGTTAATAAAGATAATTTTTAAAATAATTGATCAATAAAATAAAAAGTTACGTTTAATTTTTAAAAACAATATTGAGAAACATTTTTTTAATATATCATTTGCTTGCAACTTATTAAGGTTGATGAAGTCAATGGTTCTTTAAACCATTGATATGTCCATTAATAAAAGGATAGACAATAAGAACAAAGGTATATCCTTTGTTTCTATTCCTGATTTATAGGCAGTGAGAAATGAGTATACTATCATACTTGAAAGGTCCATTACTTAAACTACTGAGAACCTCTTGAAGTCAAACCACTATACTGTTGTAGCTTAAATTTGCTAGTTATAGCTTAAATTTCCTAGCATCACCCGGGCAGAAGGTGGTAGGTTTCTGACGGATTCCTCATGGTGAATTTCAATTATATAAACAGGAATGAAAACTACACTTCTCTAGTTTCTATCTTTTCATGGAAGGCTTACAGGAATGAAGTATTATATAGAACCTCATTATAAACAACTTTTTCATGGAAGACTTATTTGGTGTCTTGTTGTTCAGCGACTCGAAGAGACTGATAACTTGTGCAGAATCACCGTTGCGAGCATACTTAGATATCATTGCATTCCAGCTTACCAGATTCCTATCGGAAAGCACATTGAACATTGAACTCATCCATCTGCAAGTTTCTCAACTGAATTTTACCAAACATATCCAAAGCTTTAGAAACTCAATTTATCAGCCAATTGGCAGTTTGGCACCATTTGATCTTGTTAGTTTTCTCTTCTATTTCCAAACTCTTAAGATAGTCAAACTGAAACAACAATCATCGTGTTATAAACATCGAAATTTCTGAGCCAATGATAGTTTTAGCTGCATTAACTGGTGTCTGGTGACGAAAAATTACCTCGGGCTCGTGACTCTGAAACTCGGTTTTATAGCGGAACTCAGGATGCCGGCTATTAGAATAGTCGGTACTCTCCAAATCCTTTCTTGATCCATGCTGCTAAATTACATTGTAAATACACAGATATTAGCAATACCAAGTTTGTTACAAGGAATTATTCAAAACTAAGTTGATATGTTTTGCTTAGAAATGAAAAAATTAGACTTACATCTTTTGAATCTGTCCGTTCAAAGAGAACTACTCGACCACCGCGGTCGCCGGTAGCAAGATGATCACCAGACTTGTCAAATTCAATAGCAGAAATTATGTCCACTATAGAAACAAAGTTGAATCGATAATTAGGAAACTAATCCAGATAGGTCAATCACTCTAGACTGGAAGAATTTATCATTCTGTTAATGGTGTTTATAGGCAGAACATAAATACCCAACAACAAAAAAACCTACTGAATTCATATACTCTCTACTTCCTTAAACAAAAGTGCTCATGTATATGTTGTTAAAGATAAAGTCAAACGGTTTTTCGTATATGCTGGAAAAAACTTATGTAAATGGCAGATTGTTTCTACCAGTTTTAACAAACAGTCTCAGTAGTGTTTATGTCAGAAAGTAGATAAATTCAAATAAGCTAAAAAAGGAAGACTATCAGTAGCCAATAAACTTGTTGCTTAATTGAATATCGGGTCGTATATCCGGATACACACCTTGAATGTCATCATGTTAAACAGTGAAACTTTTCCTCCACAGGCAGACATTACATATGAGTCATTTTTTGAGAGTGCAATGCAAGGGACTGCTTCTTCAAGGTTGACACCCGCAATATCATTAGTCATAAGAAGACCATTGTTGGGTTGCCAACATTGTGGAACAACACTGGAAGTTGCCTGTAATCACGAGAACTTCAGACTTATGCTCTCTATTAAAAGGTAAAAGGCTAACAAATAGTATAAAGAAAGAAAAAAAAAGGATTGAACCAAGAAATACATAAAGTAATTTATTTGCTTAAGACAACCTTCCCAGTAGGGTTCTGTTCATTGCGAGCCCATTTCCAAAGCTTCTGAACGCCATTAGAACCAAGGCCAAAACACCAATAGCAGAATTTGTATATAAAAGTCGTACAACCTATATACCAATCAGTACATTAAATTAAAGCATAGAAGAATACAAAATTTGCAATAGACTGATGGTGATCTCATAAATGAGAATAAAGTAGCACAACCTATTTGAGCTATGAAGTTTTCATTGTCCCCTGTGGTAAGTGTAGCAATTACATGCAAGGTTGCATCAGATCTTCCCAAGCTTGTTCAAGGCTTTAAACAGTTATCAAAGTCAGAGTTTGCAGGATAATTTCAAAGACCGGTGAACATATCATAGTTGTGATTGGTGAGTTGCACCGTGAAATCTGCTTGAAGGATTTGCAGGATGATTTTACGAATGGAGCTGAGATTTAAAAATTTGATCCTATTGTCTCTTTCAGCAAGACTCTGCTTGACAAGTCTAGCCATGCTGTGACGAGCAAGTCACCAAACAAACAAAACCGTATATACATGGAAGCAAGGCCAATGGTGGAAGGGCTTGCAGAGGCCATTGGTGATGGAAAGATTGGACCAAGGCATGACTCCAACGTCTGCCTCTCTAAATATCTCTTGATTTATCCATAATAATAGCAAAGTATGCCTCTTCTTGTTTTCACAATGTACAAGAAAATTGATCTTAGTCGAATATGATGTCATAAAAGTTTAGAATTAGAAGTAGAATTGGTAACGTGGTGGGGCAGAGCGGGTTAAATGAGACTTGCACCCGTTTCTCTGTAGCTTATCCGTCTTTGGTTTTAAATTTAGTTGGGAACTTGGGATAATTTATCGGTTAAATTCGCTCTTAATGGAGAATGGATTTTTTCGCACTTGTCCTGCTCTCAGCATAAAAGAATAATTTCTTTTAAATTGTAATAAAAATTAA